GGAGCCCGAAGGCTTCCGGGCATGGTTACACCCGAGGCAGCCGTGGCGAGTGCGGGGAACCGACGACGGGATAGAGCTGGCAGGATGGAGCCGCGAGAAGGGAGATGAGAGGGAAATGTGCGGATTTGGGGAAAGGTGTGCTGTGGGACTGTGCAGGTGGTCGCCATTGCGGGCGGAAGGCGAGAGAAATGATGAAATTTAACAGAATGTTGATTATGAACTAACTTGGATGCTCAATGCCAAAGTTCCGTGGTGACCAAGAAATAACATTGTTTGATCTCGGGTGCTAAGTTAATGAAATAGCTTTTACAGATTAAGGGTTCTTATTTAAGGAATTAGACAATTGACCAACAGCATGAACTTTTTGAAAAATTTATTTTACATGGTTTCTATTAATTTCACATTTTTGCATGTTTTTTTCTAATTTGAATGATTCTACAAAATTTTAAGATATCTCCATATTATAACAAACTTTGTTGTATAATCTTTTGTATATTGTTGTCATATCTTTTATGTATATATTAATATTGATGTGTATCAAAAGATTTGTGACGGGAGATTGGTTATTTAATGCCTTCACATTGCATGGAAATGCAGTACACACAGTCAGATAATTAAGTGACAGATAGAGAAATTATAAGTTTTATGTTGAAGACTCTGGAAAGGGCAAAAAGCAGAGGGCTTAGCCTAATTGAAATAATCTTTTATATAATAGTGAGTACACAAACTAGCTATTCTCCCGAGTTAGAAAAGATGAAATTATAAAGTTGATATACAACAGTATTTCAACAATAATAGTCGTGACAGGTCACGAAGGCCCTATTTGATTGTCATGGAGGTAGTAGTCTCAGTGAATATTATTGACAGTTGTTGTAGCATCAGCTTACTGTAGAGGCCGTAGTTGAAAATCATGATAGTAGTTGGTCATGTGGATCATTGATGGTTGCTTCATGAGTGTTGATTGGCAACAAAAGTCGTAATAGGGAGCTGCAGAAGCTGTTAATCACGTAGGATGTAGTTGGTCACATAGATCATAGTAGTGAGCTGCGATAATGTCATTAGATCGTACAGGCTGGAGTTGAGAGCTACATGATTTGTGGACCATATAAGTTGTAGTTGATCACAAAAGTTGTAACATGGAGCTACAATAATGTTTGTTAGTTGCAGAAGCCAGGGTTGAGAGTTACTTGAACTATGATAATGTTTGTAGGTCACAGAGACTAGTATTGGGAATCGCATGAGCTGTGATAATATATGTAGGTCATAAATGGTAGAGTTGAGAGCCACATAAGCTATGATAATGTCCTTAGGTTACTTCAATATTCTTATTATTATTATTTTATTCATACAATTACTTAGGGCCCGTTTGAGGCTGCTTATAAGTGCGGCGGCGTTTTGAAAAATCCGTCTGTCTGTTTGTTTCGCACGTTCGGACAAATTATTTGAAAATTGCATTCAATATTTTCTATTACACACAAATCGCGGGGTTATACCAGCGATCCGCGTTTTCGTCCATCGTTTTACGCCTCTACCCCTTTTCCTCACTGCAAAACCTAGCCCTCGCCCCTTAAGCCACGACTCACTGAAAATCATTCGAAGTTCGTTGCTCCTTCGCCGAAAGCTAGACTCCCCCTCCTACACATCCTCCGTCGCTCTCCTCCGGGCGCCCTCCTCCTTCCGTCCGATCCTACCCGAAACCAGCAAGGAAGGCAACCTTCGTCTTTCTCCCCATGTTCCCACCAGCTTACGTGCATAAGCCTCTTTGAATCTTATAAATCCACCGTCCGACCGAATTTTCCTAACCCTTGAATCTCGTAGCTGATTTGTAAGGTTGATTTGTAGGAATCACGATCTTATGGGCGCTGGCAGCAGCACTGGTTCCTCAGATGCAGAACGAAAATGAAACAACCAGAAATCTGCACATTACATTGAACGCATTGAATGTTCTGGCAGATTCCCACTGATATTGAAATTGTTTACAAAGTGTTTGAATTCACTGATTGGTCTTGATTTCTGCATCCCTCTTTCGTCTTCTTACTGGCTTATGACTTTATTATTCTGTTCTTCTTCCCATATATTTCATATGCTTATCACATGATGCTTGTCAACCATGTATCGTCTAATAAGGTAGCATTGGTAATGGTCATTAAATACTGCTTGATGTATATGTACAGAACTCCTGAATAGTTAAATATCAAGCTTGGAAGGTCCTGTTGCTGGTAAGAATTTTTTAGGATTTAAAGATTTTTTTTTTTTTTTACTTTTTATTAAATATAGGTGTTATGCAAGTAAATCACCTAAAATTTTATTTAAAAATAAAAATTTTTATTCCTTGTCAAAACTAAAATAAAATAAAGATAGTATTTTAATTATGTTTTGCTCAATTAATATTCAAAACTTCTTACTTAAAAAAAAAATAAATAATAATAATAATAATTGAATAATAAAAATAAGTCTTTGGTTGCATCTAATTTTGTAAATAAATAAGTTTCATTTCATAATTATTTTATCTTATTTTCTAATTAGCGTAGGATCAATAGTTTAACTGTCAAATTCATATAATTATCATGTTTGCTGCATCGAGGTGAATAACTGCTCTTTAATATGGGATAAACAAATTCTTCCTAATTAGGGGTGTTATCTCTTATAATTTTATTAGATTTCTTACTAATTATATGTTTGTCATTCATACCCCTTTAAATTCCATTCATATAATTGTAGCAGTTTCTATTTTTGCTGGTCCAGCCCTTTCAGAATCAGAGTTTAGGTACATAGCATTTCTCTCTTTGTATATATGTTTGTAGAATTTGGTAACCCGGAAAAATCCGAGTGTGGAATTACGTAGCCTTTCTCTCTCTGTATATACTTTGCAATCTAATGTGATTTTAAAATTAGTTTAAAATATAAATTATTGATTACAATTTATGTTACACATAATTTAAAAATAATTTTTTGGAAAATTAAAATTAATAATGTCTGAATGGTCTTTTATGAACAAAAAACTGCAAATCAGCTGTTTTCCAAACGCACAAATCAAACAACTAAACAACTTATCCATAACAAGCAAACGCACAAACCAAACAACTAAACAACTTATCCATAACAAGGGCAGAATAATCATTTATCCAGAATCAGTTGTTTTCCAAAAGCACAAACCAAACAACCAGCTAGCTTACCCGGATCAGCTGCTCATTAACAGATTATCAGGATAAGCTGGTTATCAGCAGAAGCTGGATAAGCTGCAGCTGCCCCAAACAGACTCTTAGTTATCTTTTCACTAACTTCCTGCTTGTCAGTTTTATTGTTGAAAATATTTTATGAAAAATCGTCACCTACCATTTGTCATTCCATCTTTAGTATTTGACTTCGAGTTTGAAAAAAAAATTTCTATAAAATAGAAATTGTTATATTTGAACGTGCATTGCTTATTATGGTTCTCAAAATCATCATTAGATATGATTTATTTTCTTTCCAAGCTAATTAAATATAAATTTTTCTTTCTTATTCTTAATGACAAATAAACCCAATTTTAAAAAAAAATAGACGAATAAGAAAGAGAGGGATATTAATAAAAAGATGTATCTACTCTATTATCATTATGAGACTCTAAATCATGTGATATCTTTTATCATTAATTCCTCCCACTTTAAAGCACTCTAATGCAAATTGGCATGCGACAAAGAAAACTTCTCTTTCAATTATCTCATTTATGTGGATTAAAATCCTATTTCTTGGTGTTTTAAGAAGCAATGAATTATTGCACACTAATCTAATGAGCCTATAAATTGCTCTATTATAACCTTCGTCGTTGAGCTACATTGGATAATGCTTTCTTTTCAATGAAGTTGGTGTTTCTCGCTCATAGGAATCAATGTTTGTTATGATTTATTATGATTTATCATGATAATGTTTGTAGCATGAATTTTGATTCCTATCTTATAGTTTTCTACCATATGAAACAAGTCGCTTAAGAAACGTTTAAATTAAAACTTCCCACTTACCGTTATAACATTCACTTTCATTTCTTAGTTCCTACAACCTATTAATTTCCTAATATATAGCCTCCAGGCTCCAACCCTTGCCTGTCAACTTCATAATTACTTATGTGATTTCAATCATAAACAACTAATTTAAAAGGCAGACCAACATTTTGATTATTTTCTCTATTTTTCCATAAATTATTAATTGTCTATATATGGAAAAAAAAATCCTTTTTTATTTGGCACTTCAATTTTTACTTCCTAATATATATCTAAATATTCTCCAAACACGTGTCTCCTCTTAATCTAATTATATGACAGCCGCGATGCACGGTTGTGATCTGCGTGCGCTCTCCGCACGCAATAATGGCTCCTCCTCTGACCAAGCCTTCCCTGATCCTCGGATCTATTCTATTTAACTTGGTCTCTTAACAAATTTCTAAAATTAAAAAATCAATGTATAAAAACTAACTCCTTCACAAATTGGAGCATATACTGCTTTCAGGATTCTTGAAGTCATTCAAAGAATCAGCTTCCTTTGCTTTCCTTTCCAAACCAAAGCATCAATTGCATATAATACGTAACATATAAATAATCCATCTTATTCTTCTTCCTCTCTTCCGAATAAGAAAAGAAACAGAGATAGATAGATATGATGAAGCTGTACAACGGATTAGGAAAGAAGATCCACCCTTCACCTCCACCTTCATCCCCATGCGATCTCCTCTCCGTTCTCCCGGCAGCCATCCTCACCCTAACCGCAGCACTCTCGCCGGAGGACAAAGAGGTGCTCGCCTACCTTCTGTGCGGCCCGATCGCCGGAAAGAAGAACAACCAGCACCACCCACCGGAACTCGGCTGCGATTGCTTCGGATGTTACAAGAG